GTCAGATTTCAGACGCCGTTCACAAAGATGAGAATCTTCTGGGACTCTGGAGTGCGGACCTACGAGAACGCAGACGAAGCAGCGTCGGATATGATCAAGAGAGGCTTCGACTTGACTTGGGTCCCAAGAGAGAACAAGTTGAAAGTGACCAAGGAGAGGCTCGACTCACTGTTACCATGGAAACGGATCAACAACACCGGTGCAGGACAACGCGCGAGGGAGAAGCTCACAGAGTTTCGACGTGAGGACCAGTAACTGAACATTGAATCATAACAGGTTTGCTTTACCATAAAAAACATTTCAAGTAATGTATGGGCGATTTAAGAGCTGAATGACTTTACCAGCCGGTTTAATCCTGTTTTGGATATCAATCTCCCCTCTGTTACTAAAGTTATTTGTCATAGGTCTTTTGATAGATATTTAACCAAAATACCGAATGGAGTAAATGTTGTAGCGTTTACCAAATGTTGGACTTATCTAGTACAAGTAGACCTCCCTCTACTACTAGAGGGGGCCCCCACCCTAGCGTGGTATTTTGCCCTCACCCCACCAGCAGGGATTCTGAGGGATGTCCTTACACATCTCTACCTTTGGAAGTTTCTGTTCTTTTTGTTCATCTGTGTTTTAATAGCTTGTTCAGCTATTTGTTGGGGGCTCTTTTTCTAAAATCACATGGTGACCTTACGAAACTAAATAATGACTAATATTATCAAGATGATTTTGGTGAATGTGAATGGTATGAATAACCCTATAAAAACGTAAAAAAAATTCTAACTAAAATGCGAAAAGAGAAAGCACAGTTAATCTATTTACAGGAGACACACCTGTCTAAATCTGAACATGAAAAACTCAGGGGCTTTGGCTACTCAAAGGCATTTTATAGCTCTTTCAGACATGGAAGCAAAAGAGGAGTTACTATTCTAATTCATGACTCAATAAAATTTGATTGTAGCTATGATCTGCCAGATAAAGAAGGGAGGTATGTGATAGTGAAGGGGACTCTTGACAATGAAAAGGTAACACTGGTCAATGTTTACAACCTCGCAAATAGTAATAAATAATTCCTTAATAGCCTCCTCAATAAAATAATTATGGAAACAGAGGGAATGTTGGTCTGGGGAGAGGATTTCAATATGGTGTTAAACACAAAACTTGATACAACAAACAGTAAAAAACAACAAAATTCAACTCCAAAAAAATTAAAATTGGCACTTGAAGAGCTTGGATTTGTTGATGTCTGGAGGGAATTAAACACCAATGTAAACGATTATACTCATTACTCTGTGCCCAATAAAAGTTATTCCAGAACTGACTACCTTTTCATGAATAAATCTGATATATATAAGGTAAAGGAATGTAAAATAGAAGAAACAAGTACATCCAATCATTCTTCGCTAATATTAAAACTAAATTTATCTTCCGCAAAACAGCATGGCGATTAAATGTAGGCTTGTTGAACTTCAAAACAATCAAAGCTGAAATTTCCCACGATATAAAAACTTACATAGAAGAGAACAATGATGGACAGGTTAATCCGGTGATATTATGGGATGCACTTAAGGCAGTATTAAGAGGAAAATTGATCTCGAAAACTGAAGCCTTTAAGAAATCTAGAGTGGATGCTTATGAAAATGAAAGAGCTCAACTAACAGATCTGGAAAAACAACACAAATTAACCCAAAATCCCAACCTGTTTATAAAAATAAAAGAAATAAGAAACAACATTGATAAAATGCTTACATATGAAATTGAAAAGAAATCAAAGTTTATTAAACAATCATATCATGAGGTGGGATCTAAAGGAACGAAACTTTTGGCAAAGAAACTGAAAAAGCAACAGTCGGACAGAAATATCTAAATTAAAGGATGATGAAACAAATCAACTGATACATGACCCAGCAACTATTGAGGAAAGATTTAGGACATACTACCAGAGATTATACAGTCAACCTCCCTCTGCTAAAGATGGACAGATAGAAACCTTCTTGGAGTCACTGGACCTGCCCTCAATTAGAGAAACCCAAAACAAACTTCTCACTTCCTATATAACTAGAACAGAAATACAAAAGGCAATCAATAGGTTAAAAAACAGTAAAACACCAGGAAGTGATGGACTGCCATCTGAGTGGTACCAATCCTTTAGGGAAGATTTTCTACCATTACTAGAAAAATCATTTAATTATACATTGGAACATGCAGTGCTTCCGCCATCTTGGAGAGAAGCGATTATAACAGTCATTCCAAAAAAAAGGAGGAGTGAAACATGCTCTGACTATAGACCTATATCTATTCTAAACATGGACTACAAAATTTATACCTCGATTTTAGCAAAACGATTTGAGCAATTCATTGGAGATATCATAGATGAGGACCAGACAGGATTTATTAAAGGTCGCCAAACGCGAGATAACATCAGGAGGGCACTTCACATAATGGATCATATTCAAAATAAAAAAACAACAGACATCTTAATCAGTCTCGATGCAGAGAAAGCTTTTGACAGCGTAAGCTGGAACTTCTATATAAAACACTTGAAAAATTTGGTTTTAATGAAAAAGCTGTACAGCGTGTGAGAACTTTGTACCAATCACCTGTGGCCAGAATCAAGATTAATGGAAATCTAACTGATAATATAAAACTAGAGCGTTCTACACGTCAGGGTTGCTGTTTATCACCAACTTTATTTGCAATTTATATTGATCCACTGGCACAACACATAAGACAACACAAGGATCTTAAGGGTATTGATATACATAATGAGTCCCATACAATAGGTTTGTTTGCAGATGATGTAATTTGCTATTTATCAGACCCTGAAAATTCGCTGCCTTGTCTGATCAATCAGAGATATTTGGCTTCTATTCAGGATATAAACTAAATTTGAAAAAGACACAGGTTTTGACATTCGCTTATACACCATCTGAAACAATACGTAGAAAATATAATTTAAATTGGAGCTCTACTATGATGACATACCTAGGAATACGATTAACGAAAAACATAGGTGATCTATATAAAGTTAACTTTACTAAAGTGGACCAAGAAATTAGGAGGGATATTAGAAAGTGGGATGTCCTAACACTAGATTTCAGCTCCAGAATTGAAGCGATAAAAATGAACATGTTACCAAGGTTATTGTACCTCTTCTTGGCATTACCTATAGAAATCCCGGATAGACAGTTTAAAACATGGAACCAGATTATATCTAGATTCATATGGAACGCTAAAAAACCCAGAATAAAATTTGAAACTTTACAAATACCAAAAGAGAAAGGAGGTATGCCATTACCTGACTTTAGAGAATATTATCATGCTGCCCAAATAACTCCCATAATAAATATAAGTGCCATAAATTATGAAGCGAAATGGAAAAATATTGAACAAAAAGTCAATGGAAGAGAATTGCGGAGTATCATTGGAGATATAGAGACCACTAAGAATACACTCAAAAATGTTAATGCTATTACTAGTTTTTCACTGGGTAAATGGTTATATATAATCCGAAAATGCAAATTAGAGAAACAATTACGTTTGATCCAGTGGCCAGCCTACAATAAATATTTTATTCAAGACACACAATTTAAACAATGGTCGGAAAGAGGCTTAACAGCATTATGCGTAGTCCTTAAAGAGTGGCACTTTAAAAGTTTCCAGGAACTACAACAAGAGTTTGCTCTAAGAACTCAAGATCATTTTAGATTCCTACAATTAAGGGACTTTTATAACAAAGAAATAAAACAAAAGATAGACCCAAATGTAAATGGGATTGTCAAAATGCTGATCGAGACCTATAAGGGTAAAAAACACAGAATAGTGTCTTTACTCTATAAATATCTGTTAGAAAATAGAGACACTAACACATTGAATATTAAAACAAAATGGGAAAGGGAATTAGATATTCTGCTAACCGAAGATGGCTGGCTGAATATTTGGAAGACCCAAATTACAACATCCTCTTCCAGAATCTGGACAGAACATTGTTGGAAGAATATAATCAGATTTTTTATAACACCCCAAATTACTAGTAAATTCAAATCTAGAGCTCAACCATGTTGGAGAGATTGTGGAGCATTTAATGTTAATCACGCGCATATTTTCTGGCTTTGCCTGAGAATTACACAGTTCTGGAACGGAATACACAATAAGATTGTAACAATATTGGGTTACTCAATACCTAAGTCTGGCCTGGTTCTATATCTTGGTCTTTTGGACAGTAGTGTACTTAATAATGACTGTTATTTGTTAGAAATTCTGTTGGTGGCAGCTAAAAAGGTGATAACCAGGAAGTGGTACAAATCTGAACCTCCTACCACAAAGGAGTGGATACAGACTGTGAACTCAATATTTGAGATGGAGATTCTAACATATAGACTGAGGACACAGGAATAGCATTGCCTGGACAAATGGGAAAAATGGACAAACTTCACATCAACGATACAAGACTAATTTTGGAAATGGATGGTCCCCATCTCTTTTGTGTTACCAAAATAAGAGTTTCCCCCTGGTGTGAGATTTTTGTTTTGTTTGTTCTGTACTTTTTGTCTTTTNACTCAGGGGCTTTGGCTACTCAAAGGCATTTTATAGCTCTTTCAGACATGGAAGCAAAAGAGGAGTTACTATTCTAATTCATGACTCAATAAAATTTGATTGTAGCTATGATCTGCCAGATAAAGAAGGGAGGTATGTGATAGTGAAGGGGACTCTTGACAATGAAAAGGTAACACTGGTCAATGTTTACAACCTCGCAAATAGTAATAAATAATTCCTTAATAGCCTCCTCAATAAAATAATTATGGAAACAGAGGGAATGTTGGTCTGGGGAGAGGATTTCAATATGGTGTTAAACACAAAACTTGATACAACAAACAGTAAAAAACAACAAAATTCAACTCCAAAAAAATTAAAATTGGCACTTGAAGAGCTTGGATTTGTTGATGTCTGGAGGGAATTAAACACCAATGTAAAGGATTATACTCATTACTCTGTGCCCAATAAAAGTTATTCCAGAACTGACTACCTTTTCATGAATAAATCTGATATATATAAGGTAAAGGAATGTAAAATAGAAGAAACAAGTACATCCAATCATTCTTCGCTAATATTAAAACTAAATTTATCTTCCGCAAAACAGCATGGCGATTAAATGTAGGCTTGTTGAACTTCAAAACAATCAAAGCTGAAATTTCCCACGATATAAAAACTTACATAGAAGAGAACAATGATGGACAGGTTAATCCGGTGATATTATGGGATGCACAGTATTAAGAGGAAAATTGATCTGAAAAACTGCGGCCTTTAAGAAATCCAGAGTGGATGCCTATGAAAAAGAAAGAGCTCAACGAACAGATCTGGAAAAACAACATAAATTAACCCAAAATCCCAACCTGTTTATAAAAATAAAAGAACTAAGAAACAACATTGACAAAATGCTTACATATGAAATTGAAAAGAAATCAAAGTTTATTAAACAATCATATCATGAGGTGGGATCTAAAGGAACGAAACTTTTGGCAAAGAAACTGAAAAAGCAACAGTCGGACAGAAATATCTAAATTAAAGGATGATGAAACAAATCAACTGATACATGACCCAGCAACTATTGAGGAAAGATTTAGGACATACTACCAGAGATTATACAGTCAACCTCCCTCTGCTAAAGATGGACAGATAGAAACCTTCTTGGAGTCACTGGACCTGCCCTCAATTAGAGAAACCCAAAACAAACTTCTCACTTCCTATATAACTAGAACAGAAATACAAAAGGCAATCAATAGGTTAAAAAACAGTAAAACACCAGGAAGTGATGGACTGCCATCTGAGTGGTACAAATCCTTTAGCGAAGATTTTCTACCATTACTAGAAAAATCATTTAATTATACATTGGAACATGCAGTGCTTCCGCCATCTTGGAGAGAAGCGATTATAACAGTCATTCCAAAAAAAAGGAGGAGTGAAACATGCTCTGACTATAGACCTATATCTATTCTAAACATGGACTACAAAATTTATACCTCGATTTTAGCAAAACGATTTGAGCAATTCATTGGAGATATCATAGATGAGGACCAGACAGGATTTATTAAAGGTCGCCAAACGCGAGATAACATCAGGAGGGCACTTCACATAATGGATCATATTCAAAATAAAAAAACAACAGACATCTTAATCAGTCTCGATGCAGAGAAAGCTTTTGACAGCGTAGGCTGGAACTTCTCATATAAAGTACTTGAAAAATTTGGTTTTAATGAAAAAGCTGTACAGCGTGTGAGAACTTTGTACCAATCACCTGTGGCCAGAATCAAGATTAATGGAAATCTAACTGATAATATAAAACTGGAGCGTTCTACATGTCAGGGCTGCTGTTTATCACCAACTTTATTTGCAATTTATATTGATCCACTGGCACAACACATAAGACAACACAAGGATCTTAAGGGTATTGATATACATAATGAGTCCCATACAATAGGTTTGTTTGCAGATGATGTAATTTGCTATTTATCAGACCCTGAAAATTCGCTGCCTTGTCTGATCAATCAGAGATATTTGGCTTCTATTCAGGATATAAACTAAATTTGAAAAAGACACAGGTTTTGACATTCGCTTATACACCATCTGAAACAATACGTAGAAAATATAATTTAAATTGGAGCTCTACTATGATGACATACCTAGGAATACAATTAACGAAAAACATAGGTGATCTATATAAAGCTAACTTTACTAAAGTGGACCAAGAAATTAGGAGGGATATTAGAAAGTGGGATGTCCTAACGCTAGACTTCAGCTCCAGAATTGAAGCGATAAAAATGAACATGTTACCAAGGTTATTGTACCTCTTCTTGGCATTACCTATAGAAATCCCGGATAGACAGTTTAAAACATGGAACCAGATTATATCTAGATTCATATGGAACGCTAAAAAACCCAGAATAAAATTTGAAACTTTACAAATACCAAAAGAGAAAGGAGGTATGCCATTACCTGACTTTAGAGAATATTATCATGCTGCCCAAATAACTCCCATAATAAATATAAGTGCCATAAATTATGAAGCGAAATGGAAAAATATTGAATAAAAAGTTAACGGAAGAGAATTGCGGAGTATCATTGGAGATATAGAGACCACTAAGAATACAATTAAGAATGTTAATGCTATTACTAGTTTTTCACTGGGTAAATGGTTATATATAGTCCGAAAATGCAAATTAGAGAAACCATTATGTCTGATCCAGTGGCCAGCCTACAATAAATATTTTATTCAAGACCCACAATTTAAACAACAGCATTTATGTAGTTCTTAAAGATGGGCACTTTAAAAGTTTCCAGGAACTACAGCAAGAGTTTGCTCTAAGAACTCAAGATCATTTTAGATTCCTACAATTAAGGGACTTTTATAACAAAGAAATAAAACAAAAGATAGACCCAAATGTAAATGGGATTGTCAAAATGCTGATCGAGACCTATAAGGGTAAAAAACACAAAACAGTGTCTTTACTCTACAAATATCTGTTAGAAAATAGAGGTACATTGAATATTAAAACAAAGTGGGAAAGGGAATTGGATATTCTGCTAACCGAAGATGGCTGGCTGAATATTTGGAAGACCCAAATTACAACATCCTCTTCCAGAATCTGGACAGAACATTGTTGGAAGAATATAATCAGATTTTTTATAACACCCCAAATTACTAGTAAATTCAAATCTAGAGCTCAACCATGTTGGAGAGATTGTGGAGCATTTAATGTTAATCACGCGCATATTTTCTGGCTTTGCCCTAGAATTACGCAGTTCTGGAACAGAATACACAGTAAGATTGCAACAATATTGGGTTACTCAATACCCAAGTCTGGCCTGGTTTTATAATCTTGGTCTTTTGGACAATAGTGGACTTAATAATGACTGTTATTTGTTAAAAATTCTGTTTGTGGCAACTAAAAAGGTGATAACCAGGAAGTGGTACAAATCTGAACCTCCTACCACAAAGGAGTGGATACAGACTGTGAACTCATTATTTAAGATGGAGATTCTAACACATAGACTGAGGACACAGGAACAGCATTGCCTGGACAAATGGGAAAAATGGACAAACTT